TATATACATATATATACATATATATATATAAAAATCTGTATTTCACGTCAGATCAACAAATGCAAAAATCAAACCATTGTGACCATGGAGACGCCTATGAACATCAGGCCGTCCTTACTACAGCGTGGCCACAAAATGCCTGTTTATCCTAAGCTGTGTTACAGCAGCAGGTCAGCGCTGCTGCTGGGAGATTTCCACTTTAAAAAATAACACAAAGGAAGCCAGAAAAACGAGTGGAAATTCTAGGTGGACATGACACCAACCTGCGGATATTAGCTTCTGTTAAGCAACACTGATGAGGAAAAAGGCAAACTCCCCCCCCCCCCAACTGGTATCTGTTTTTAACCCCCGCAGCTCTAAGATCATAAATCTGCAGTGACGGTGGATTTTTCTGGAGGCTTCATCCTGTCTGCATAAATCTTTTTTTTTTTTTTATCTCAAAAATAAAACTCTAAATAAATCTTTACCACAATCCCAGCCTCTACTCCCTGCAGAAACTCACTGATGCCGCCTTAATTGTTGTTTTTGTGCATCATTTGTGTTCAGGGTTGTTCCAGTCCCCCACTGAAGATATATGATGATAGCTAAGGTGGGATGGGCCGCCCCGCCCAGCAGAGGCTCGCCTTCCTGGCCGACAACCAGTCTGTCTTGGTCCCAATCTGTCCTGCTGCGATCGGACGGTGAGCTCAAATAAGCAGGCTGCAGCGTAGCTCTGGTGGATATTCATGTGTAGGGAACTACTATAATTAGACCGGCTCTATGCGTCTGCAACTTGAAACATCTGTCGGGACTCAGGCGGCTAAAAGGCCAAAGTGATTACATAGCCAGGCTTGGCCTTCCGGTATTGTAGGCTGCAGAGAAGCAGTTTGCTGAAAACCCAGCCTGTAATGAAGGCTTTGATACATAGAAGAAGGCTCACGCAGCGTGCTGCTGCAAAGAGCGCCTGCAAACCCCTTTCTCTCCGAATAAAAAGCTTGTGAACTCGCTCACCCTTTTGTCGATGTCATTGTGCTGCAGCTGGACAAAGCGGGCACTGATTGCAGCGATGTAGCTCTGCTGATTGGAGAAGGCCACACGCCCGGCTCCCTTTGGATATTTCAGCTCCGGATCGGTGTCTATTCCTGCGTAGCAAACGCCTCCGTACAGCCGGTCCATGATCATCGCCAACTCCACTGGAAAACACAAAGAGAGAGATGATTGGAGCTGAAAGGGAGCTCTGACATAACATCTCACCAAAAATGCACCAAATCTTTTAGAATCGTAAAAGGTGTCCATTATAAAAGACAAACTAACATGTAAATGTATAAACCTAGAGTTGCATGTTATGTAAGTTTTCTTAGAGGTCTGACCTGTTCATTTAAATAAAAAAAAAGGTAGATACCAATTTATATTTAAAGCACAGAAATTTAAAGGTTTATGATGTTTTTTTCTTCACAGATTATTTCTTATATCAAAATGTGACGGATTCTCTGAAAGGAATCCAAAAAGAAGGAACACAGAGTTAACTGGTAAATAAAAGCATAATAATTATCTCTCTATCTGTATTTTTAAATCAACCCAAAGTCCATCAGAGGAAATGCAGTTTCTCACGGACAGGAAAATATAAAGGGAGTAATAAATGTTGTTTGCAGACTGATAACATTCAAAGTTCTGAGAATGATGCTGGTTTTTTCCTCGGTTTTCTGAGAAGTCTGTGGTGCCGTATTGTAACCATATATACAGTTTTCCACTTGTCCCTCATTCACTGCAGCAGCAGCAGCCTAAACCTGCTGGGGGTAATTAGCTGGGGGTCAGATTGCAGACAAGCCAGCGATGTTCATCTCACCAAGATAAAAGGATCAACCTTCCATTAGCTCATGAATTCCTAACGCGCTGACCTCTGGGTCGCCCTCCTGGGAACCCAAGACATGGATTGCTTTCTCACAGGGAGACCTTTCATTCGGTGTCAGCTCAGGTTATGATGCACAGTTTTAAAGCAGCTTGCATAAAACAAAAACAACAACAAAAAGAGGTAGGATTCCTATCAGTGGACAACCTGCACGCAGGGGCCGGGGGACACCACCAACGAAGATGGTTTTGCGGGGATCCAGAGGCTGGGAGCCGTCCATAACGAAGTCGCTGTCACTCAGGTTCCAGGGACGGATCTGGACCTATTGAAGAAAACAAAAATAAACGACCTTAATGGTTGAAAAAGCAATGAGCTACACTTCAAATATGAAAGAAGAACTGAAGAGATAACATCATCTAAAATTTAGTCCAACTGAGGTGATCAAACATCTGAAAGGATATCAGTCCTGCAAATAGGCGGAGCTAGATCTGGATTTACTTTCTCTTTAGTTCAGATCTGATTTTAACTCTGGACCTTCTGCAAAATAACAATAATAATAAATGTTTTTGTAATGCACTTTACATTTAAAGTCGTAGGGAAACGGCTGTTCCAACTGTTGCAGTTTCGAATTCTCCTGAGTGGTGCCTGAATTTACACGTTGATAAT